GTGTGTGTGCGTGCGTGTGTGTGTGCGTGCGTGTGTGTGCGTGCGTGTGTGTGTGTGCGTGCGTGTGTGTGTGTGCGTGCGTGTGTGTGTGTGCGTGCGTGTGTGTGTGTGCGTGCGTGTGTGTGACAGCAGGCGCAGCTCCGCCCCTCCCCAGCCGCCCCGCCCTCAGCCACACGTGCTCGGACCCAGGCAGGCGCCGCTAGGCCAGCATGTCGGGGACGCAGCCCTGCATGTCAGCGTGGGCGAGGCCAGCCCGCGGGCCACTCGCAGCCCCAGGGCTCAGCCCCGTCCTGCAGGAAGAGCCTGCTCCTTGCCCCTTCCTACGCCTCCTGGGGGCGTAGCAGCCCAGGAAGGAGCCGCCGGCTCCCAGCAGCCACACACACGTGCACCCACGTGCACATGCGTGCCCGCAGAGGCTCACACACACACACGGGCTCCCCGCCTGCACGTGGGCTCACGGGGCACCCAGGCAGTGCTTCTGCGCTGACTGAAATCAGAGAAGCTCATTCTGGTCTTGACCTGGGACCTCAGGCTGAAATGCAGTCGGGGGCAGATCTGCAGGCAGATCACTCACAGGAGCAAACTGTGCAGATGGGAGACATTTCGGGGCGAGGGGGTGAGGGGAGCTGCAGAGAACCAGGCAGTGCACCCCCCGCACGACAGAGCCTGCCATGCAGCAGTGGAGAGCCGGTGCTACCCGACTGTTCCCTTTAAGCAAAGAGAAAAGCCAGGCGGCCGGGTATCAATTCAGCTTTTATCATATTCAGACTATAATAGTTTATAACATCCCCACGCGGACCAAGTACAATGCACCTGTGGTTGGACGTGTCTCTTGGTCCAGCAGTTTGCACTCTGCTTCCAGGGAGGAAGCTCGCGTAAAGAATTCCCTCGCTCCGTCTGCCCCGGGGCCCCCGTCGTGCAGCTGAGTGCGGCTGACTCTGTGATCCTTGATTTGGAGTCCCCAGGACCCAGAGGGATGGAGGGATCTCACGCCCACCTCCACCCCAGCGTCGGCCCCCATCTCCCCCCTTTGACCCAAGGGTCAGGTGACTCGCCCTGTAAGGGGCCCAGGTCCACATGGCCTCCGAGAGGCACCCTGCACGAGACAGCTGTCCGCACTTTACACGACACTTCTGCCTCTTATTTCATTCGAATAAAGCCCGGGGGACGTGGTCCCGTGCGTGAATCAAGCCCAGGGCTTCTTGTGCGCCTCAGGCTAAGCCATCCCCTTGACCTGGGGATTTCCAACTATGCTCCCCCCTCATTACTACATCCCAGGCTGGACGATTCTGGGGCAACACGCCTGTGCAGATCTGGGGAACCCGTGCTCGCTGAGCTGAGCTGACCTCCGCTGGGCCCCGCCACTTCCTCCCCACACAGCTTGCGGCTATGCTCGGAAGCCTATGGGAAGTAGGACTTTCACAATGACTTGAGTGACACGGTGGGGAGGGCCCATGCACAGCCTGGAAGCAGCCATCTCTCTGTGCAGGGCGGGTCTCCGGGGTGACGGCTTGGAACCCGGCCGTTTACAACAGACAGCGCGCCGCCCTCAAGCATCTGGACATGAACGCCAGACCGACGGCCGGTGCGATGTGCACGGGGCACAGAACTTGGAGACAAAACTTCTGTGACCTTGAGCCTCACCTGTCTCCTTTATAAACTGGTTAAAAAGATGCAAGGAGCCAATGATTGCAAGCACTTGAGAAGCCACCGAGCTCCCTTCGAGGGGTGGGTCCAATCTCTGGGACCCAGTGAGGCACCTTCTCCCTCCCACGGACTCCGACACCGGGACCGCCTTCCACAGCTTCAAGGAGCTGCTTCCGCTCCGGCCACAGCTCAGAGTCCAGCACTGGTCACTGTAGATGCTTGCAAAGGAAGCCTACCTTTAAGGTCGCCTCATCCAGAACCTTCACTTCCTCGATGAGCTTCTTCAATTCCTCGGCGCTCAGCAGGGAGATGACCGACTGGCCCGACTGAGGGGAGCACTGGTCCCGGCTGTCAACTTCTATGGGCTCCCCGAGCCCCTCCGTGTACTCTCTCAGTTCTGAAAGGCTTTCACACAGAAACAGCACACATTGACTGCGTGATCACTGTGCTCCCGGACGGGGCTGAGCATTGATGTGCATTCTGTTATTTGATGCGAGAAACCCGCGTAGATGCCAATATCCCTCCACCATAGCCACGCGGAAACTGGGGCTTACGGAGGGCGAACGCCTTGTCTGTGGCCACACGGTTGCGAAACACCCAGATCTGGGACTCACAATCGAAAGCCGTGGTGTGTCCGACTCCAGACTCAGTGTGTCCAAACCTCAGTACCGCCCCCCGGGGTCCAACGGATGCTTTGGGCAACCTGCCCCAACGCTGACATGTACCCCCCGCCCTCCCTCACAGCTGCCCCCGGCACGTGCCCCCCTTGGCATCTGCGTGGCCCCATCGGCACCTGCGTGCCCCCCATGGATGGGCACCAAACGACCACAGACAGCACCCACGCGGCCAGCAACTGCCCTTCCTTTCTCTTGGGAACTTATTTTGATATTTGTAGCCGGTTCTTTCCAGCTACACCTCCTATTTTGCAGGAAGCTGTGGTTTCAGTGACAGGAAACTATCGCTCCCTCTGGTTGGCAGACCTTTACTGCCAGAAGGCGAAGACGCCCGCAGCAGTAAATTCTAGCAGTGAGCCTGGTAGAGAGCTCCCCGGGCAACCTCTCAGCCAGAAAGAGCCCACTACCGGGCTGCCTTTCCCGCTGCCCGGCTCTGCCTAGCGCCCCGCGTGCTGGCCCAGCCATTTAGACCCCGCTCTCAGTGTGCGTCCAGGGCCACGCCTGCCCCTTCCCAGGCTGTCTGCAGCAGCAGCAACATGAAACGTCAAGGTCAATGGGACCCAGACGTTTCTCGGCAGCATCAGAATTAGACATAGAGCTGGCCAGCGCAGACTTGTTCTGATCCAGGACAGGACCGTGGGGACACGCCTCCAGCGTTTGAAGCAGGCCCTGCCCACCTCCTAATTGCAGCCCAGGAGCAGACTGAGGGTGCGGAGTCGGCGCGCCAGGCATCCTGACGCCCAGTGCAGGGGCCTGAACCCACAGGCAGGGTGCGCCTGTATTCTCGCTGGGACAGGGCTGGGGGGACGGGGGTAAGAGCTGCCAGCGGGTCATCACCTCCCGGCTCCAGCCTGGCCTTCCTGAGCAGCAGCGGGACACGTCCAATGTGCACTCGCTTTCCAAACCCCCATGGGCCGTTCAGCCGGGACCACCGGCGCCTTCCCCGGTCCCCTGCTCCCACAACAGGTGCTGGGAGACCCCTCCTTCATACGGAAGGTGTAACGCACACACACGCGCACACACACACGCGCGCACACACACCTACGGGAAGGAGCAGGTAGAACAGACCTTTAGAACACCTGAGACGCTGCTTTAAGGGCAGGTGCAGGTGCGGGAGAAAGGGGGACAGGGGAGGAGAGAAGAGGGGTGAAGGCGGGCGCAGGGCGTACTCACTTGAGGGAGAACCCCGTGTCCGAAGCAGGCGATTCCGCAGCCCCGTTTGCGGCCGGGGCGTCGCTGGCCGCTGATGCAGGGCAGCCGCCGTCCTTGGGGGCACAGGGGCTCGGGCTCCAGGACACAGAGGACGGGAGGCACAGCAAGGACTTCATGACGGCCGAGGACACTCGGCTGCTGATGGAGTAGAGCTGACTGCACCTCTCCTCCAGCGGCGCCGTCTCCCAGGACTGCGTCCTGCACAGCGGGAAGCTCCGAGCCCGCTGGCTGGGCGCCTTGACAACCGGGCCTGCGGGCCCCTCAGCGTGTGCGGACAGCAGGCTCAGGAGAGGGTCGGGGTCAGCGGGGAGGGCTTTCTGGCTGGACTGCCGTCCCGGGAGAGAGGACCCCGATGCCCCTGGGTCCCTGGGCTTGGAGGAGGCGGGGGGGCCCCGCGGCACCTGCTCCCGCTCTGGCGGCCGGGGCTCGGCGGTGGGGACAGCCCCTTGCTCTGAGAGGCCAGAGCCCCGACCTCCCTCGTGCTCCCCCGGAGGCTGTGCTGCCTCCCCGAGCGAGGCCTGGAGGCTCACTCTCTGGGCTCCTCTGCCGGGCAGCTGAGAGGAGGAGCCAAAGGTCTCAAAGGAGCTGATTCTCTGCTTGATGGAAGAGAAGGCCCGCGTGGGCGGCCCCGGGGGGCGCTGCCAGCATGCGGCTGGCGGCTGGGCAGAGGGGGCCGGGTCGGGTGGCCGCCTCGGCTCCACGGCCCGCGTCCTCAGACTTTTCAAGCTCTGGCGAAACCAGGCTGGCTTGGGGGCCACGGGAGGGCCCTTCTTCACGGCGCCGCTGTCTGCTGACTTGCAAACCTTGGGGGAGGTCCCGGAGGCGTCCGGCTTCGACAGGGTCCCGTCTGGGAGGCCCTGCACCCCGTCTTCTTCCCCCAGGCTGACCCCGGGCTGCAGCGTTGTGTGGCCGTGGTTGTCGCTCATGATGGGGCTGAAGAGGTTCTTGATGCAGTCAGAAATTCTCACCCAGGGGTCTTCGGCCGAGATGTCGAGGCCACAGTCCATCCGCGCCTGCCTCTTAAGGAGTGGGTGTTTCACCGGGGATGTGGGGATCGCTGCAGAGCAGAATCAAGGCCAGGACAGAAACACTGCCCCTGAGCTGTCGTCTCAGAGCTTAGTGGCAAGCGGACTTCCGGGGGAGGGGCACACGCACCGGGCCCCGGGGTGGGGCGGGGTGGGGGTGGGGAAGCACCTTCTCCAGGTGCCGTCGATGCCTGCCTGCGACGACAGGGCAGAGTTTGCGTCTCAGCATTTCAGAGCTGGAAGCGCTTGCAGGGACCCCCTGGGCCAATCACTGGCATCTCACAAGGGAGAAATCCAACATCAGGAGGGTGAGGGGCCACCCATCGGTGCAGGCAGGGCCAGACCCCCCCCCTGCTTCTCTGTGTCCTTTCCGCTGCTCTAAGAAGCCCCCCAGTTAAGCCGTCACAGACTGAAAGGCCAAAGCAATTTTCTTACCTTTGCAACTTTTGAGCCGAAGGTCACGAAATGGTGGCCATATTTGGTTTAGACCACCCAGCTCATTAAAAAGCAATGTGGACGCGCCTTCAGATGGGGCGCACCCGGCTCCCCTAAGTTCTTCACCCACCCCCGCCGCCCACCGGCCAGCATCCTACATAGTTGTGCACCCCCTCTGGGAAGCTGGGGAGACTCTCTTACCCAGGGACAGAGGGAGGCCAGCCTCAGAGCCCCACACGGCAACAAGGCCAAGTGGGTGGGTGTGACCCTTCCGTGGCCCGCAGGTCTGCTCTCTCCCTCGTTAGGAGGATGCTGCTCCGGATCTGTGCCCTAGGGGGTGACTGACCCGCAGCAGCCCAGGGTGCCGGGCTTTCCCCTCGTCTCAGTGCCCAGCCTCAACGAAAACAGACCAAGAGAGCATTGTTTAAGCCTCAAAGATATCCGAGGCGCCCTGCACAACCCGGAAGAGGAGCGTGGTACTACCAGCTCCAGGGCTTTGCCAAGGGGCCGCCCTCCCGGCCTGGCTCTGGTTCTGCATTTAGAAATCGCTCTGCCGCAAGGGGCTGTCACGAAGCTGTGTGGTCGGAGCGTCTGCCCGCCAGCCCTTTGCACCCTGGGGTGAGGCTCTCTTGCAAGCAGGGCACCGAGGCATTCTCTGCTGGGTTCCTCTATCGGGGTGACTAAGGGAAGGGGGGGGTGGTGAGCGGCAGCCGTGGGGCACCTGCTTCGGGAGAGATGGGCCAGAGGTTTCCACCCATAAGCCCACCCCCCCGCCCCCCTGCATTCTCACACAGCGTTTCTCCAACAGGCCTGTGCCCTGCAGCCTGCAGATTTATTTCTCTGCCGCCACCGGGAGCTGCGTGACGGCAGGAGCCGGTCAGCTCCTCTCTCTGTGCCTCCGTCCCTCCCTCCGTCCAGAACCCGGCACGGAGCCTCAGGAAGCCGGCACTCGGCACACGTTAGGAATCCACACCTACGCCGGCCACGTGTGAGCGCGCAGCTCAGAGAAGCAGAGGGCTCCCGGGGGCACAGCCGGGCGTCCATGCTGGCCTCCCTGACCCCCAGTCCTGTGCCCTCTGGAGCAGCCACAGGCCACACGGGTTCAGCTGGCGACTCAGCACCTGCGGCGGCGCCTCGTGAGCACGCCCACCTCGGGACGCGGCGCCCTCCAGCCGGGATGTGGGGGAGCCCATCACCGTCTGCCCCCCAGCCCCCGGCACCCCAGCCTGACCACGAGGTCCCCAGCCCAGCAGCGGCTCCCTGTCCCGCCGCCCGGGCTTCCCAGGGCTCCCGCCTCCTCATCAGCCTCAGTGCGGCCGCCGTGTCCGTCCTCGGGTCAGAGCCCTCCAACCTTAGTCCAGACCCACACCCCTACCTCATTCCCCAGACCTTTTCTCGAAAGGCCCTTCCTTCCAGAAGATGGAAATGAGAGCCTACCTGGGCCGCCGCCTCTGCTCTCCCGCTCGGCCTCCGGGGGGGGCGCCGTCTGCGGGTCCGCCGCGGGCCCCGGGCAGCAGGCAAGGGCGCGGGGGGCTCTCCCCGTCGTGTCTTCCTGCAGTGGCGGCCGTGGCGCTGGCGGCAGCTCGCTGGCTTCCTGTGGTGTAAACAGGAAGTGAAGCCACGTGGAAACGGTGGCCTCCAGCCGTGAGAATGCAAGGTGCACCCGGGCGGGGCGCCCCCTGAGCTGCTCCCGCCGTGGCTTCCCCGGGGACCCGCGCCCTCGGAGGCCTGCGACCAGAGCACAGCCCACCCGCGGAGCAGGAAGCCCCCAGGCCCTGAGTGACGGGGACCCGGAGCTGGGGTGCGAAGGCCCCACCACATCTACCCCTGCAGCCGGGTGGGGCCCTGCCCCGGTGGGGAGGGGAGGGCGCAGCCGGCCGCTAGTCTTCAGACACTCAGAGCAAACGGGAGTCAGTGGCCTTCGGTGCCTTCCGCTGGAGGGTGACAGACCCTGGGCACCGGGCCGTCGCTCCCCCCGCGGCACCTGCGCTGGCCCGGCGTCCGCCCAGGCAGAAGCAGGTCCCCACTGAGCCTCCCTCATGAAGCAGCCGTGGGACGAGGCGGACAGGGCCCCACGCACCCGGCCACCACCCGCCTGTCCCCGCACCACAGCTGAGATGCTTCGGGGCCCAGAGGAAGCAGAGGGGTGACTTCCCAGAGAAGCGCCTTCTGTCCGGTTCTTGAACAGAGAGTGAGAACTGTCCCGGCAGAGAAGCAGGGCGAGAGCTGCTCCCGAGAGCCGGGCGCTGGCGTGAGAGCGAGAGTCGGGAGGAAGGACGAGACGGGGCGTCAGGGCCGTGCCGCCCCCGCCTCTGTGTCCCCTCAGACCCACGTCGGGAATGACTGGCTGGCTCTCTGACAGGCCGCAGGCTTCCTCCCGAGAGGAAGAAAAAGGGAATGAGTGCATCGTTTGGGACAAAAACAGAAACGGCGAACGTCTGTGGCCCGAGATTAATACCGACGTCGGCAATGACCGTTCTTCGAGAATGTGAGGGAGAACTGAGCTCGGGGAGAGACCAAGCGACTCAGGACTCGGTGCGCTCCTTGAACTAGACCTCTGAAGGAGCAGGCCTTGGCCATGGCATTCAAGGCTCAAAATACTAGGCCGGTGGCATCTAAGACCCTCGTCACCCAGGAGCCGTGGCAGGTGGCTGGAATTTAACTTCACTCATTTGGGAGCTCTGCGAGGTGACACTTGTCTGTGTCCAGGAGTTGCTGACACTGTCACAGCCTGACACTCAGGCACCAAGCCCGGGACTCAAAGCAACTTTGCATCTTGGAGCAGACACAGGCCTCCTCTGGTTTTTTCCTGGTACCCTCTGCGCGGGACGTTGTTTTCCTTTGGTCTTAATTATCCCCTGAATTCAGTTCAATTTTACGCAGATCTTTCTCAAGGTCGTCTTCCCGAGCACAGTGCTTGGTGGGTGAGGGAGGGGGACAGGAAGAGAAAAGACAGACTGCGGGCCGACAGGGGAGGAGGTGGATTTTCGGCACAAGAGCTGGTTTGAGCTCATTTCCCAGATAGGAGAGACTTGGTCTTTTGAAGAAAATACCCCGAGGTCATTTTGGCTTTGGACGTCACATCCCCCTAAGTCAGGATGGGTGGGGTTTGGGGGTCCTCCTGGGGAGGAGGGGCTACAGGGGGTGGGGGGAGAAGGCGGGGACGCGGAGGGAAGGACAGACAGATAACTACGCGGGGGCCGCGGACAGACACATCCAGTGGGGAGTCCCCAGGGACTGTCCAGGGAACTTGGAGACCATCTCTCCCCACCCCCGCCCCCGCCCCCAGTGAAAGTGTGTGGCGCTGAGAAGTCATGTCCAAGGGAAAGAGCAGAGGGAAGAGAAGAGCAGTGGCTGGCGGTGGTGGCCGAGGCCACACAGCACGGAAGGCTGCCTGGAGGAAGTGCCCCCTGCCTGCCGTCTCTGCAGAAACCCCACTTGTTTCTGCTCACCCTGGACACCTGCTGCCCCAGGGACACCCCGCCTGGCCAGGCGCCCCAAGGGCCTCCCCGGGAAGACCTGTGGCCCCGAAGACCTGCCCTGGCAAAGCTGCTCCCCCGTTTCTGAGGCTCCAGGAACAAAGCAAAGAGCCTGGCTTCTCAGCCCCTGTTCCTCACTTGCCTTCTGGACCCCCAGGGAGGTGCCACACTTGCTTACAGCCCGGGGCCAGGACCCGCCTGGACAAGCCGGCCCACCGAGTGTTGCTAAGCCGCCACATCCTGCAGCTCCGCGGGGACCGGGACGCGCTTCCTCCTTCAGTCCCTGTCACCCTCGCACTCTGCCCTCCCCTCCGCCCCCGCCCAGCCCGCCGCTCCGGGGTCCTTCCCCTCCCGGAGTCCGGCCAAGGCAGGGATGTAACGGGCAGTGTAGCTAGTGGTCGACCCACTGGCAGTGGGGGCTTGTGCTCGGTCCCCTCTTTTGTGACCGGGACGCTCCCCCCAGGTGGGCTAGGGCTGAGCTGGGCGAAGCACGCGCAGTGCGGACAGCGGCCGGTCGCCCGCCTTCCCCTGCGGGGTGGCGTGGGGCAGCAGAGGAAGGAAACTGAGGTCTGTAACAGACGCGGTGAGGGGACAATCACAGCAGTGACTCGCGTGCCTGAGGTCTGGTGCGCCAGCACCCGCGGGGCTCCATCTAACGCGCACCGCGGCCCTCGCAGGGGGGCAGCAGCGGCCCCAATTAAAGCTAAGGAAACTGAGGCTCGAAGAGCTGGGGCTCCCCCCGCCGCACCAACAAGGAAGTGGGCAGGCAAAGCTAGTTGGGAAGGAAGCCGGAGCCAGTTTCTCACCATCACGTGGGTCGCCTCACGCATGGAAGACGCTAACTAGCCCTTGTCCGCTTTGAGCCTAACTCGGGGCAAGTCTCCCAGCGGAAGCGGCAGGCCCGAAGAAAGCGTGTGCAGCGGGCCCTGTCTGCCCGGCACAGGTGGCCTTCGGGGATCGGCTGGAGCTCCCATCGTGCGGAGTCTGAAAAGTGACCCCCGGGAGAGCAGCCTTGAACTCCTGTGTATTTGGAAGGGAGCCCGGGAGCCCTGTGGCAGGAACGGGGCTTCGAGTCTGGAACCTTCCGGCCTCGAATCTTCGAGCCGAGCCTCTCGCCTCTGGCGGAGCAGGGAGAGCCCCCTCCCCAGGGCCACCCCTGCTGCTGGTGCCCAGGAAGCACCGTGCAAAAAAAATCAAAATAAAAATCCAAACATCAACCACAAAACCAACCGCTCTTTGGCTCTGGAGCTCAAGAGAACACAGCCTGTCAGACACGTCTCTTACCTGGCCACCCGCGGGCAAAGTGTGCCCTGAAGGGCACAGGGAGCTCTGTCTCTCTTCCAGACTCTTCTGAGGGTCACTGTCACTTTTAAAGTATTTTCTGGGCGGAGGCTTGGGCTTGGAGGTCGTGGGTTTTCTCACCAAAATCTCGAAGGATTTCTTCAGTCTCAGCGGCCGGTGGCTGTCCGGCAACCCAGGGAGGGGCGGGCTCTCCTGGGGTGGCCGGGAGGGACCCACGGGAGGCCCCCCCTGCTCCTGCCCGGGGGACAGGCTGGGGCTGTGCGCGTGGACTTCCAGGTCGGAAGGCGGCGGCTGCTCGCCGCCACCGCTGACTGGGCTCCCTCCCGGGGACGCAGACATGTAGCTGCTGTCGCTGCTGGAGCGGATCATGACCTTCTGAGCCCTGCGATGTGGAGGTGCTGAGTTTTTCTCTCTCTCTTTCTCCAAGGTCGGCCGCCCATGCCAGCTGCTCTCCAGCCTCGGGACGCCTGCAGCAAAAGCACAAGGGAACCCGCACAGCTGGGCTGGGGGCGCACACACCCCCGCCCCGGGCTGCACACCGCACCCCGGGCCGTCTGCTTCTCAGCTGAGGTCACCTGGGGTTTGGAGCCCGGCCATCTCGGGTTGTCCCAGAAAAGCTGTAGGAATCCAGCTTGGGAAAATCACTCAACCTGGGTCTCCATGTGATGGGCATGGAGCTGTGTCCCCAACTTGCAAGAAGGGCTTGCTGTCCCCCTGTGAGAAGTGCTGCTGGCACATGCCTGCCACCGTCCACCTCTCTGGGGACTGTTAACAGGAGCCGCCTCCCCCAAGGGGAGCTCATGGCCAGCGACTGACGGAGATGGGCTGTGAAAGAGCGCCCATGTCTGCCAAACCAGACAATTCCAACGTGTCTTTTAGCTCCAGCATATTCCAGGGCTTGGCTGAAGCTTGCATCTCAGCTCACCTCCTCCCCCCTGCCCAGCCCTCTTCTCTCCTCTCCTCCCCAGGCTCTGATCCCTTGGACCCTCCGAGGTAGCATTCTGCGTGCCAAACACCATCTCAGAGTTGGCTTCCTGGGGGACCCAACGAGCAACACTCCATTGTTTCACCTGTGAAACGGGGATAATAATTCCAGGGTCACCGAGCTTGTTTGGGGGCTCAATGTCAAAGAGAACACCTGTGAGTGTGCATTGAGCCTTGTACCAAAAGGTTATCATTTCTTCCAGCTGAGGAAGAATCAATACCTTTATGACTTTCTAGACAGTTTCATAGCCATAGTCTCCTTTCTCTTCCCTCCATCCTGGCCCTTCTTCCAGAGCCAGCCCTGCACACACACCCGTTCTCGGCACCGGGACCATCCGCACAACCCTGAGAGGCCCTTTTCTGTAGCAGCAAACTGCCCCCAGTGTTCCTTTTCTAGAATCAGAGCTCAAAGGAGTGGGAGCAGACTGAGACCCAGCCTCTTGCTCAAATTCCAGCTCATTCTGGAAGGCCAAGAGAGTGAGGAGAGACCCATGGAAGAGAATCCTAGACCTTAGGAGAACACTAAGGTCAGCCAAGCTCACAGTTTGAATCCTTGTTAAAGAAAGAGATTTCTTTGGCCTTTTCCTGGCCATAAAATAATGCATCCTCATTAGAAAGAACTCAGCCCCAAAAAGAAAGACATGAAAGTAAAGAGCCACCCGCTGTCCTATCCGCTGGAGAAAACCACTGTCCAAACACATGTGAGTTTCTCTGTTATATTTTCCCGAGCATAAATGCTGCGTGGGTGAAGACGGTAGAAGATTTTCAGACAGTGTGGCCTCCTTGTCAATATTGGCCCATGGTTCTGTCACATGCTCCGTGATGACATGGCCATCGTCCCCCAGCTGAGCACTGAGGCAGCTAGTGCCCAGGGACTGAAGCCAGTCAGCTGGGCCCCGTCCAGATGCTCTGTGCACCACACAATGTGATTTGGGGTAAAAGAACCTCTCAGGGCTCCACTTTTCCTTAGGAATGTGCCTTAAAATTATATGTAAAGATCTGGTAAAATAATGCATGAATTAGTTCCAGTGTCTGACGTGACAAGACCTTAATAAAGGTTAGGTATTATATTATTAGATTTTTTTCTAAAGAGTCTATTATTATGAACTTGGGGTTGAAAACTCAAATGTGTAAAGGGGCAACTGTGCCAAGGGCAGCCTGGCATAACACAACAGGGGGCAGGGGGAACGACAGAGGCCAGGGGAGAGCCTGCCCAGTAGAAAAACACAAATTCAGATGTTTGAACATCGCGTGCCTCCCACACGAAGCAGACACGTGCGCCAAGCTCAGCTGCTGGGCTGCTAGCTTTCAGCCTTTGTCCCCGTGGCGTGCCTGGTGGAGACGATGACTATCACATCACTGAGGTACAAGGCAAGTTAGTGGCTAAACCCTGAGCTGTCTAAGAAGGCAAAGATATTCAAGTCAAAGTTCTGTTTCCCTTACCTTCCAGACTCCACTGATGCCTCTCCTTCCCAAACTTGACATTCTCCACAGCCTGGGCCACAGCCTCTTTGAGTTGCTGTTCTGAAACCTAGAAAATACCGGTCACTTCCTCAAGTAAACAGCAGCAGCGTCTGCATCAGGCTCTGAGTCCTATAGCAGCTCCCAAGCATGGCCCCTGCATGCCAGGGTCTGTCCTCCCAACCCACTCTGCAAGTAGCTGACAAAGTGCACTTCTAGAAACACCCTATGGATTCCAGGGTATCCGTGGTTCCCACGTATATTGTCAGTAAAGTCCAAAGTCTGTCAATAAAGGAGTTTCTGAGGTAGCCACTCTCAACTCTCCAGACCTTCTCTCCGTGGCTTGCTGAAAAACTCCAGGCAAGGTTACCGCTTGAGAGTTTACCTCTGGGAGCATTCCACTCTTGGCAATGCTGCCATGACATCATCATCACTATCACTATCACCATCATCACCGTCACCACCATCACCACCATCACCACCATCATCATCATCATCACCATCACCATCATCACCACCACCATCATCATCATCACCATCATCACCATCATCACCATCACCATCATCACCATCATCATCACTATCATCACCATCACCATCACTATCATCACCATCATCATCATCATCATCACCATCACCATCATCACCACCATCATCACCATCACCACCATCACCACCATTACCACCATCATCATCATCATCACCATCACCATCACCACCATCACCATCATCACCATCATCATCACCACCATCACCATCACCATCATCACCATCATCATCACTATCATCACCATCATCATCATCATCACCACCATCATCACCATCATCATCATCATCACCATCATCATCACTATCATCACCATCACCATCACTATCATCACCATCATCATCACTATCATCACCATCATCACCATCATCATCATCATCACCATCACCATCACCATCACCATCATCACCATCATCATCACCATCATCACCATCATCACCACCATCACCACCATCCCCATTATCATCTCCATCATCACCATCACCATCATCACCATCATCACCATCATCACCATCACCACCATCATCACCATTATCATCGTTGTCATTGTCATCATGATCACCATCACCATGTTGCTGTATCAGGTCACTAATCTACCTTAGAGTAATAGTTAAGAATATAATTTTTTTTAATGTTTTTTATTTATTTCTAGGAGAGAGAGAGAGACAGCGTGAGCAGGGGAAGGTCAGAGAGAGAGGGAGACACAGACTCCGAAACAGGCTCCAGGCTCTGAGCTGGCAGTCAGCACAAAGCCCGACGCGGGGCTCGAACCCACGAACCGCGAGATCATGACCTAAGCGAAAGTCGGACGCTTAACCGACTAAGCCACCCAGGCGTCCCAAGAATATAATTTTTGAAGTCACACAGACTTGTGTTTAATTCTAGTTCCCCCACTTTCTAGTTGTGCACTCTTAGACAAGTTACTTAACCTTCCAAGCCTCAATTTCTTCTTCTGTAAAGTAACAATAATATAACCTACTTCCCAGTGAAGTCAGAGGGATTTTAGATAATATACCATTTGGGTGACACCTGGCTGGCTCAGTCGGTTAAGCGCCCAACTTTGGCTCAGGTCATGATCTCACCATTCCCAAGTTCAAGCCCTGCATCGGGCTCTGTGCTGACGGCTCAGAGCCTGGAGCCTGCTTTGGATTCTGTGTCTCCCTCTCTGTCTACCCCTCCCCCGCTCACACTCTGTCTCTCTCTCCCTCTCTCAAAAATAAACATGAAAACTTTTAAAAGTAATAATAAAATAAAATCTTAACATATTACATGAACAGCCACAGACCCTCCCCTAGCTCCTCATCCCCCGCAGAATACCATGCAAACCCCTAAGCATCCCGTGTGACTCCAATGCCATGCCGACCTGATCCTTAGCCTCTGCACCCAGCACCCACACCCCAGCCCCACGCCCCTTCCGTGGAAGTCCCTTCTTGACTCTGTAGCTTTGAACTTTTTGTCCCACTTCATGGCATGGCCTTCCTCAAATCCTTTGCCTAGAGAAAACCAAATTCTGGTAACTCTTGCTTTATACAACCTTCCTTTCTGTATCCCTCTATTCCCAGAATACCTACCGCTTTGTATAGTGATTATTTATAGGTCGTTGTCTCTAGCAAGACCCTGAGCTTCCAGAAGGCAAGACTGTGTACTATGAACTTGTTCATCTCTGTGTGCTCGGTGCGTAGCTCCAGACAGTCACATAGTGAGTGGGTCCCTATTAGATGCACGGATGAATTGATCCCTGGCATCCACTTGCAGGGATGCTGGGTCTATATTTTCCTGCCCTAGAGCCTGTCACCAGCTGTAAGAGCTTCCCTAAGCTGATGCCAATTGCCTCCGGTATCTAAGAGTTGGCCCATGGACCCCTGCTGCAGACACTTGTTATTATACCTGGAACAGGTTCTTGGAAATTCAAGTCCAAACCCAGAGAGCATCACCTGTGTTTATCCATTTCTTGTCACAAGTATGGAAAGAGGGAGCCTAGGTGGGAGAAGACGTCTCCGTGAGGTGTTACCTGTGGGTCTGGATGCCGGCTGACGATGATGGGGACGGGTCCAGGACTGCAGTGACTCAGGATGGCGTAGACTTCGTTTAGCGTCAGGCAGTGCACGGGGGAGTCATTGATTTCCACAATCTCGTCGCCACAGCTGGGAAAGCACACACAGGAAGCCATCAGTGAGCTACCCAACGTGGCGTTCGGATGCTCCCTTCCCTGACATCCCACTCAGGGACTTAGGTCTCTGGTGACACCTAAAACTTACCCCAATAAACAGAGCTCCTTAGCCACCCGACTGACATTCAGAGTGGGACAGACCAAAGCAGTGCACGCCCACTCCTCGCTGCACAACCACAGCGTGGGGGACATTTCCTACCTGTTTCATGGGTCAGTGTGAACAAAAGTCGGTCTAAACTTTCCTCCTCATTTTCCCCACTAAACTATGTCTAACTGAGATGGAGCGTGTAGGTTAACCAACTTAAGCGATTAACCAATTAACTGTGATATAACCAATCACTCCTCTCTTTGAGCCTCAGTGTTCCCATCTGTAGAATGGCTAGGAGGAAAGACAGATGCTTTGTGCTAAGAGGTGAGGAAGATATAACTGGGCAGAGAGCAGTTGAAGCCCTTGCAAAAAGAAGGAAGGAGAGAAAGCATGGAGTTCATTCTTGTTGGAAGACGGGGAGCAAGTTTCAGAAAATTTAGATTTATTCTGTTACATAACCAGAAAAGAAAAAGTGAGGTAGAAAAGATAGGGATGTAACCATACATAGAGGATCTGTGCAATCCAACCCCCATCAGAGCTGGGGAAACCAAGGCACAGAGGGTGAAGTAATCTTAATAAGACCTAGCTTACAGTAAAAAAAAAAAAAAAGGCTATTTCTGGAAATGGCCAATTAGTAAATGTTTTAGGCTTTGCAGTCCGCGCTGCCTCTGTCACAACGACTCAGCTCTGATGTTGTAGCATAGAAACAGCAGCCGTAGACAATGTGTCAGCAGATGAGTGTGGCTATGTTCCAATAAAACTTTATTTAAAAAACAAAAACCAAGCAGGTAGTAGGCCCCAGTTTGCTGACCACTGGCCTGGCGGGTTATTAGCACAGCGAGAATCAGAACACAGTCTCTGGGACTGAGCTCACTGTCGCCCCCACCGTGGTCTGCTGTCTCCCACCACAGCCCTGCAGAGCCGGTCCCCCTTCACCTTTGCTAAGAAAGTTCACATTTTCATTGATGTAACTGAAGACCAGAGCCACATCGCACCAGGTGCCAAGGAAAGCAGAAGCTTCCGGAACAATCCCTACCCAGCTGCAGGTCTAGGAGGGGGGGACTCTGTCTGGAGGAATTAGAGCTAAGGCCGCTGCTGTGACTCTGCAGTTACGTCCCAGGTGACAACACGGCAGCCAGCAAATCGGCTGTCACCCTCCTGCACGTGACAACAGCAAATCCACCCGGAATCTAAGGCACCATCAAGACACCGTCCTGGGCAGGCGTGACCCTTACACAGGCTCCAGTTATAGGAAGACCTTCAAAACCATGACAAAACTCTTCTGAGTTGGCAGGACTCGAACCCAGTGAGAGAAGGAATATGCAAAGATGTGCTGGGAGAGAAATCCCCGAACTGCAAATATCGTAACAGGTTAAACTGGGGTAAATGGCACCGAACCCAGCTCACTTACTGGAGAGGACATTCAGATTCGGCTTCTCTTAGAAGTTCTCTGCAGAGACTTATGTCTGGAGTGCTACACGTATTTGGTTTATACCATCAAGAAACTGAGTTGACGCTACCGATTTGCTTCGTAAGTAGGCATCTTTACCCATAGGGGGTACGCAGGCAAACCCCATTGGAGCCCCTGTTTCCGTCACCATAAATCCTGTGCTGGTTAGGCCTGGATTAAAGCGTGTTCACTCCCTGTTTTCCTTTTTAGACTGGCATTGCCTGAGATAATGCCTCTTCTTTTCTTCTTCTATTTTTTTTTTTTTAATTTAAGGACAGAGCCAGGAGGAGAGACAGAGAAGGAGGGAGAGAGAATTCCAAGCAGGCTCCACGCTGTCAGCACAGCGCCCCACATGGGGCTCCATCTCGCCAGCCGTGAGACCACGACCTGAGCTGAAATCAAGAGTCGGACGCTTCACCAGCCCAGCCCCCCAGGCGCCTCAACAATTCCTCTTAAACTGCAACGTGCCTGCGAATCCCTGAGCATCCTGTTAGAACGCAGAGTCCGCTGTGGCAGGTCGGGGAGGGGCCCGGGCCTCGGCACGGCTGCCACGCGCCGGGGGACCTTGCCGCCACCGGTCCCGGGGCCGAGCTGTGGGCCACGCTTGGGTCATTCGAAGTATCTGTCTCCGAGCTAACCTCCTGGCCTTCTAAGGAATTCCTTCCCTCGGATGTAAATCAGGGTGCTGTTTTATCTTTCCAAAAACGGAGATAAGGACATACCGGAGCCGCCCATCCAGATGTGCCACAGACCCCGGGGACAGCGTGTGGACGAAAATGCCGGAGATGCACTGGAAATAGGGCACGCTGCACAGGCCGATGCCCAGGCCGACGCCAGCCTCTGGGGGGGGGGGAGGGGCGGGCTGTGACCAAGCCCGAAGGACCTCAGCTCTCCTGCCACTGGTAAGAACTGAGGGGGAGCCGCACCCCAGTCCTCACAGTGTGGCTGCGGCTCAGCCCAGGCCCCGCTTCCCGGGTTTGGTTGTTTCACTCCCACCCCACCAAGGCCAGGCCAGGTGTGGATGGTGCGTCCTTCACCCCCCCCCAACGCCAGGCCGGGTGTGGATGGTGTGTCCTTCACCCCCCCCCAACGCCAGGCCAGGTGTGGATGGTGCGTCCTTCACCCCCCCCCAACGCCAGGCCGGGTGTGGATGGTGTGTCCTTCGCCCCCCCCCAAGGGCTGCCCGGGTGTGGATGGTGTGTCCTTCGCCCCCCCCCAACGCCAGGCCGGGTGTGGGTGGTGCGTCCTTCGCCCCCCCCCAATGCCAGGCCGGGTGTGGATGGTGCGGCCTTCGCTGCTCAGCAAGGGCTGCAAACCTGCTGGTAGACAACGCCCCGTCCCTCCTTGGGACGTCCCGGGGCCCCTCGGTGGCGGGAGGCCGGGGCAGGAGGGTGGAGGAGGCGGCGGCAGGGGTGCGGGCCCACCTTTCTGCAGAGACACCTCCACCATGACCCTGTAGGTGGGCTTGGCCGCGCTGGCGGGGGCGGGGGCGGGGCTCTCCAAGCCGAAGGGGCCGCTGTCCTTGGTGGCGCACGTGCTGGAGCTCAGGGAGCGGCACAGCGGGGGCGACAGGTGGCTGCTCAGGCAGTGGGGCGCCGTCAGGCGCGTCCTCACCGTGAGGGTCAGGAGCCCTTTTTTGGCTTGCTGAAAGGAAGAGACGTGTGCTGCAGCGCTCAGCAGCTGTGTGTGCGAAGGTGTGTGCGTGTCCGTGTGTGTGTGCGTGTCTGTGTGCGTGTCCACATGTGCATGACTGTGTGTGTATGTCCACATCTACGTGTGCATGACCGTGTGTGTGTGCGTGTCCATGTGCGTGTCCACGTGTGCATGACTGTGTGTGTGTCCACATCTACGTGTGCATGACCGTGTGTGTGTGCGTGTCCGTGTGCGTGTCCACGTGTGCATGACTGTGTGTGTGTCCACATCCACGTGTGCATGACCGTGTGTGTATGTCCATGTGTGTGTGTCCACGTGTACATGACCACGTGTGTGTGTGTCTGTGTGTGTGTCCACATCTACATGTGCATGACCGTGTGTGTGTCTACATGTACATGTGCATGACCATGTGTGTGTGTCCGTGTGTATGCGTGTCCACGTCTACGTGTGCATGACCGTGTGTGTATCCACATGTACATGTGCATGACCATGTGTGTGTGCGTGTCCATGTGTGTGCGTGTCCACATCTACGTGTGCATGACCGTGTGTGTGTGCATGTCTATGTGTGTGCGTGTCTGTGTGCGTGTCCACGTGTGCATGACTGTGTGTGTCCACATCTACGTTTGCACGACCGTGTGTGTGTGCATGTCCATGTGTGTGAGTGTCCACGTCTACATGTGTATGACCGTGTGTGTGTGTGCATGTCCATGTGTGTGAGTGTCCACGTCTACGTGTGTATGACCGTGTGTGTGTGCATGACCATGTGTGTGTGAATGTGTCCACACCTACGTGTGCATGACCGTGTGTGTGTGCATGTCCGTGTGTGTGAGTGTCCACGTGTGCATGACTGTGTGGCCTGGGGTCGGCCCTGCACCGACAGCGAGTGGTCACCTTGAACTTCCGCAGAGCATCCTGATGTGTTAGTCCAGCCATCGATTCCCCGTTGAGCTCCAGAATTTCATCCCCTGTTGGGAGAGGGAGGAATCACAGTGGAGAAGCGTGTGGCCCCGGGGGCGGGGGGCCTGTTTGCAGCCGGTGACGAAGCCTTCCTCGCCTGGGACACCCCCAGGCCGGCGGGCAGTAGTGACCCGCCTTCTGAGGCCCGTCCTGCCTCCCGGGCTGAGATCCAAGCTCCTGGGCTGACACACAGGCCTGGCCTGACCTGTCCGGCCCGCCCCCTGCCTCCTTGACCCTCACACCAGGGGCTCCCACGGCTCATTTCCTGATGCCACCCCGCCTGCCTGTCTCGCAGTGTCGTCTGCGACCCGGGCTCCCCAGCCGCGTCCACCACTAGCCGTCACAGCTCGGCCCCGTGGGTGGGTGGTGACCAGTGACCTGGGGAAGACACCCCCTCCCGGCAGACGGCTCCCAGGCCAGGGGATTTATCTAATTACATGGTGTGTCCCCAGGGCCAGTTCTGCGGAGGAGGAGGGGGACCCGCCCAGTGCTCAGGACACATGAGAAGGAGGTGATGCTTCCAGAATGCAGCATAGCCCCATTTTGCAGAAGAGGAAAGTGTACCCAGAGCAGTCCCAAGTCACCTGGTGAAGAGAAGTAGGAAGCCGGCATTTTCCCTGCAAGCTGTTCCCGCACAAATATGCCTAATAGACCCATTTTTTCTGTATCCAGAAATCCATCATTGTGGGGATGGAAAACCAATGTCTCCAGTTCGTTAAATGAGCTCAGCACACAAACATGGAGCATTTGCTCTGCGTTCAGCGCTGCGTGTTGGGCACAAGCACTGTCCTTCACGCAGACGTGTGGTCCGGTCCTTAGCAGGCGCGCCTGCTGCCACCTAACTGTGGTCTCCATGCAGACAATCCACCCCTCTTCTCCGGCCGTTTGAAAGATGGTTCTGCCTTTGTCTCTGATAGCCTGAAGTTCCATTGTGATGCCCTGGGTGCTTCCCCACCCTGAAATGCCATGCCTTAAAATGATTCTGGAACATTCTTGGCCCCTATCTCATTGACCTTGGCTTCTTTCTCTCTTTCACGCTGTTCTTTCTTTCTAGAATGCATCCTTCTTTGGGCCTTCTCTCCCAACCCTCCATGTTTCTCTAACACTCCCCTGTTCTTCTCCACGGCTCCGCGCAGACTGCTAGATAACTCCCGGCTCCCGACTCCCCTCACGGCTGCGCTGTGTCTGCTGTTGACACATCCACTGAGTTAATGATTTCAATCACGTGCCTTTGGTACAAGTTATTTTTTTCGCCATGTTCTGTTCTTCTCTTGTTGTTCATATGCCCTCTTTTACCTTTTCAAAGATCTCTTTTTAAACACAGTAATTCTAAACAAATACAAAACTTCTAATGCAAAGCAATGCATGTGCCCCCAGGTTTCTTTACAGCATTATCTATAAGAGCCAAAGTGTGGAAACAGCCCAAGTGTCCATTGGTAGACGAATGGATAAAGAAGACGTGTATATATATGCACACAATGGAATACTACTCAGCCATAAAAAAAAAAAAAAAGAGGGGTGCCTGGGTGGCTTAGTCGGTTGAGCGTCCAACTTTCGCTTAGGTCATGATCTTGCGGTTCGTGGGTTCGGGCCCCGCGTCGGGCTCTGTGCTGACTGCCAGCTCAGAGCCTGGAGCCTGTTTCAGAGTCTGTGACTCCCTCTCTCTCTGACCCTCCCCTGCTCGCTCTGTCTCTCTCTCTCTCCTAGAAGTAAATAAAACATTAAAAAAAAAAAATGAAGGCTCGCCACTTGCAACAACCTGGGTGGAGCTAGAGTGTATAATATGCTACGTGAAATAAATCAATCAGAGAAAGACGAATACAAAACCATGTGATTTTGCTCATATGTGGAAATTCAGAAACATAACAAACAAATAACGAAAACAGAGACAAGCCAAGCAACAGACTTATAACTACAGAGAACACACTGGTGTCGCCAGAAGGGAGGTGGGGGGCGGGGGAACTAGGTGATGGGCATTAAGGGGGGCACGTGTCGTGACGAGCACAGGGTGATGTGTGGAAGTGCTGAATCACTACATTGCACACCTGAAACTAATATAAGACTGTATGTTACGTGCACTGAAATTAAAATAAAAACAATTAAAAATTGCATAACAAAAAAAGTCATTCTACAGTGTCTTTTAGATTGTTGTGTGATGTTGGGGTTTTGAGGGCTACTACTCGGGTCCATCATTCCTGCCAACGCCCATTAACAAGGGACATTTCCTGATGCCCTGTGTGGTCTTGGTGTCGAACTCGTTTTTCTGGGGGACCAGCTTTTCTCTGGGATTTCCCCGCACCCCAAGCTGCTGAGCAACAGCGGTCCATTACCTCCAGGAGGCAACCCAGGGCTTCCACAGCTTCCGGACAAGTGTTAACATTAGGTTCTCAGCTTGGGGCATCCTGCACACGGTAGAGGCTATCAGTGTGGCCACAACACTCCCACGTGACACAAGTCCTTCCTTTCCTGAGGGAGACGTCTTTTCCTCCCACCCAAGAGCCACAGGCACTGCTAGGTTCCCTCACTGCTTCCCTGAGCCTGGTGGCCTTTCACAAGGGCAGCTAGTGAGGCTTCACATGGACCCACGGCCATGTCTCCTGTCCCGTGTGGGCAGCAAATCCGGGTCCCTGGCCCTTCAGCCCTTTGGGCACCAATTCCATGGGCCATCACATCATCAACTCCTAAGACTTGGATTTAAAGTTTAGATGTGCCCCATTATCCAACATGTCTACATGTCAAAAATCAAGGGCGGAAGTGGGCTGGGGAGAGGATTCAAGTCAGTGTCATCTGTGAAGTTGCCAGAATTAGACCAAAAATGAAAGAATTAGTCTTCATACTTAGGAGAGTCCAAGCTGTGTGGAAACAGACAAGTTTTATAAGTAACTAAAATATAACAATTATGTCAGAAGGAAGACTATACAAAGAACATATTTCAGAAATGATCATTCTTTTTCTCCCCCATCCCATGGACAAGAGATTGAGTGATTGATTACAAAGGGTGGAGCCTAAGTGTGCCATTAAATGCCTTCCTCTGCTTATTTGTTTAACTGAAGCACAGCTGACACATAACGTTGGTTTTAGGTGTGCAACATAATGATTTGACAATTATATACATTACGAAATGCTCACCAGGATGAGTGGACCCACCCACTGTCAGCACCCAAGGTTGTTACAATACTGATTCCATTCCGTCTGCTGTGCTTTCCATCCCCACGACTTCTTTCTTTTGTAACCGGACGTTTGCACCTCTTCAACCCATCACCTACTCCACCTGTCTCCCTCGCCGCCAGTTTGTTCTCTGTGTTTACGAGTCGGTTTCTATTTTTGTTGCTCTTGTGAATCATGTGGTATTTTTGTCCGACTTCTTTCACTTAGCACCATACCCTCTAGATGCATCCGTGCTGTCACAAGTGGCAAGATTTCATTCTTTTCGTGCCTGAGTAATAGTCCATTGTATACACACACCACACCTTCTTCATCCATCCATCCATCTATCGATGGACACTTGAGTTGCTTCCATAACTTGGCTATTGTAAATAATGCTCCCATATACAGGGGGCTTCTACCTCTTTGAATCAGTGTTTTCATTTTCGTTGCATAAATACCCAGAAGTTGAATTGCTGGGTCACATGGTACATCTATTTTTAGTTTTTTGAGGAAACTCCACACTGTTTACCACAGTGGCTGCACCAGTTCACATTCCCACCCACTGGGCACGAGGATTCCTTTCTCTCCGCATCCTCGCCAACACCCGTTTCTCGAGAAACGGCCATTCTCAGCGACACGAAGGGCTGAGCTTCCCTTGCGAGCCCCAGCAGAACTACTCTTTGGATAGTCCTGCTCCTTACGGGGCCATATCGGGTGGAAAGCGATTAAACTCAGTGTTGCCAAATAAATCTTACACAATCGTTTCTTTCGCAAGCAGATTACAAATAAAACCTCATTAGCTTCGATCTGTGCTCCAGACTTTTGATGCAGCTGGATGTACCTACCCACCTCCGAGGGCAGATTCTAGAACTTCACTGTGAAAGAGTTACAAACGGTTATTTTGTTAATCATTAGAGGCTGGAATCAAGGACTAGCTGAACGTCTTTCCCACTGAATTTTTATGATTGGTATTAATGAAGGGGGGGAATGAAGCTGGACAGGGCAGGCTTGTATTCCGGAAAGAAAACAGATTACAATACGCTTTTTCTCGCCACCTCAACTCAACTCCCTCACCTTTTATTTAAGTAAAGAGAAGTACAAAAGATGACCAAACAAAATATGGTACATTCTCAATATTCTGACTCCCCATTTCTCCCTTAATCTCATTGATCCCTTTTCTTTCCCTGCCTCTTGATTCAGCTTTTCCCCTAGAAGCTGCCTCCCTCCTACTGTCTTCCCCTCCTTCATCAACCCTATAACGCAAGTATTTTCCAAGTGGCTGCAGCCCCCAGTCTACACTCAGCCCTATTCGCTCCCTGAGCTGAAGACGGTGACATCTCCTGCTGGAAGCGCCCCCTGGTGGCTGCTTGGAGCCAAGCATCTTCCTTGGCCTTTTCGTACGGTACCTAGTCCTTCTCCAGGTAAGTTTACAAAGACCGGAGCATTTTCTCAGACCCAGAGAGGCTGAGTCATCTGCACCTGCCTCCTCCCGGGAAGACAGGCTCAGGGCAGACCCTGAAGAGCCGGAGCCTGGCCCGCAGGACAGTCTCTCAGAGGGCCTGACGGCCCCAGGCTGCAGCTGGCCCACTTCATGCTGCTGAACCAAGTCCCAGCCGGTCCCTCCCAAGTTACCCAAACCGCCGAAGGCTCCCCACCGCCTCCTCGGTAAAATCCGCACGCACAAGTTCGCGTGATGTTGGGGTCGGCAGCCCTTCTCTATGATGGGCCGGATAGTAAATACGGGGAGCTTTGCCGGCCGCGTGCGCCCTGCACAACTTCTCAACGCTGCTGTCGTGAACGCAAGAGCAGCCTCACACAACGGGCGAGTGAATGAGCCACACGCCTGGCTCCGTCCTCATAACACTTCCTCGTGGAGCCCGAAATGCGAGTTTCATTCAGTTTTCTCCCGCCGCGAAAGACCTGCACATTCCTTTGACTTTTTTCAGCCATTTAGAAATATAAGATCCAGCAATTGCACTATTAGGTATTCTCCCAGAAGGTACAAAAATACAGATTCAAAAGGGCACATGAACCTCAATGCTCATAGCAGAGTTATTAACAATAGCCAAATTATGGAGAGAGCCCAAGTGTCCACCAAATGATGAATGGAGAAGGCTGTGGTATATGTATATATACAATGGAATATTACTCCATCATCAAAAAGACTGAAATCCTGCCATTTGCCATGATGTGGATGCAGCTACAGAGGAGTATTATGCCAAGAGAAACCAATCAGTCAGAGAAAGACAAATACCATTTGATTTCACTCATATGTGGAATTTAAGATACAAACCAAATGAAAATATGGGAAGGGGGGATAAAGAGAAAAGGGGGAAACAAACCATAAGAGACTCTTTTTTTTTTAATTTTTAATGTTTATTTTTGAGACAGAGACAGAGCATGAGCAGGGGAGGGGCAGAGAGAGAGGGAGACACAGAATCCGAAGCAGCTCCGGGCTCTGAGCTGTCAGCACAGAGCCCGACGCAGGGCTTGAACCCACGAACCGTGAGATCATGACCTGAGCCGAAGTCAGACACTTGACCCACTGAGCCCCCCAGGCGCCCCAAGAGGCTCTTAACGATAGAGAACAAACTGTGGTTGCTGGAGGGGAGGGGTGGGGGGGGCATGAGGAGGGCACTCTGGGAGGAACCCTGGGTGTCGTGTGGAAGGGATGAGTCACTGATTCTACCCCTGAAACCAACACTGCACTGTATGTTAACTTAGCAGAATTTAAATTTAAAAAAAAAAAGAAAAGAAACGCAAGAACCAGTCTATCAGTGAGTGTGAAAATGGGCAGCGGGCCAAATGCCCCAGGGTTTACTAACACTCCTCTAAGCCGGTTGGGTTCTTAAAGGTGGATAGTCTCCCCGCAGCTGACAGAAATGTCCTGACACGGGGGGTGGGGACGCCGTGAGGTCATCTGTCTTCAGCATCCCTGTGCCCCCCGGTGTCTGGCCTGCGGGGGCCTCCCGCTGCTCCGCAGCCCCTGAATTTTGCCCCTAGTTGAAATTTGGGAGTATCCCCGGGCCAAGCCTGTTGTCCAGTACTCCAATGACTTCGGGGAGCGTTTGGGGGGGGGAGAAAGCCCTGGGACCCCGGGACGAGACCAGAAGGGCCCTCAGGAGGCAGCTCTGACCCCCGGGCCCCTGGCCCTCAGGATGGCCAGGGGCTTCTCCCGGACGGGAGAGCGGGCGGACCGTGAGCTCTTCAAAGGAGGGATCACATCTGATCGTTCTCTCGGTTCCTGGAGCGAGAACACAGCGGCTTACAGGGCACGCTGATCAGGCGCATTAGAAACACAGGGCCCGCCTCCCGGTGATGGCGGGTCCGGGAGGGCAGGAAGGAAGGAAGATGGCGGTGGGGACACCGGCCACGGAGAGGGGCCCTTGGACAGGAAGGGGCACCCCGATCTTCTGTCCCAGGCTGGCTACAGGGCCTGGGCCATGTGCAGACACACCCAGCCCGGTGCCAGCCACGACGGAGCCCTCGGGGACACGTGCCGCGGTCCCCAGAACACACGCAGGCCGGCTTCTGACGGCTAAAGGAACGTTTTGCATCGCACTGTCTCCTACAGGCTAGTGACTGAGTCCTCAGACATCACCCAGCGAGGGACGAGAAACCTACCTTCTTGCAGCCGTCCATCCGCTGCCGCGGCTCCGCCTGCAAAGATGGTTTTGACGTAAATTCCGATGGGGCCGTAGATGCTGTCCCTTCCCCCGACGATGCTGAAGCCCAGGCCCTGGGGGAAAAAAGAGGAGATGATGCGGCGTTAGGAACGTTCCACGCTGAGCGCCTGCCCCAACCCTCAACGGAGGACCCGGAGAGGAGAAAGGTGCCCTTGGTCTCCGACGCGTCGGGGCCTCCCAGAGGAATGGGGAAGCCATGACCTCCAGGCCAGACCGCCTGGGGCTCTCCCACGGAGAATGATGTCCCGACCCAGAACTCGTGCTGTGGCCGGAGAATCCCAGACGAGACTGAGCCCTGGGTCTGCCCGTCTCGCTGGCAATTCGGGGCACATCACGTCCTGTCTCCCAGCCCCCTGTAAAATGATGCTCATAACCTCACAGGATTGTGTTTGAAAATTCAAAGAGGCGATCCTGGGTGATTCAGAGGGTTAAGTGTCCGGCTTCAGCTCAGGCCATGAACTCGCCGTTTGTGGGTTCGAGCCCTGCGTCGTCAGGGTCTGTGCTGACAGCTCGGAGCCTGGAGCTGCCTCAGATCCTGTGTCTCCCTCTCTCTCTGCCCCTCCCCTGCTCACGCTCTCTCTCGTTCTCTCTCAAAAATAAACATTTTTAAATTGTAAAAAAAAAAAAAAAAAAAGAAGGAGAAGAAGAAGAAGAAGGAGAAGGAGAAGAAGAAGAAGAAGAAGAAGAAGGAGAAGGAGACTGGGAGACACGGTGTCAGTTCGGCCGCTAACTAACGAGCCCCCCGAGCAGGTCCGGGAACTTCCCAGGCCCTCAGTCTCCTCAGCCAGAAAAGGGAGATGACCACAGGGCTGTCTGTCGTGAGGATCCGAGACGTTCCTCGCAAAGCCTTTGGCACGGCGCCTGGCGTTTTGGTAGCAGCTTACTTGCCCGATTTGATTCTGACTCTGACTCAGAGATCCTTCTGGCTGCTTCCTCCTCCTCCTGAACTCCGCTCTGACCCCACTCCTACTTGCCATCTGGGGCGACTCGACCTTCGTCCCGAGCCTGGGCTGTGTGGGTGGACGGGGGGGGGGTCGGGGGGGGGGGCTGTCTGGCCTCTGAACCCACCGCCCTGCTCTGCACGCAGGCCTCCTGCACCGAGAAGCCCGCCTGGCTTGGTCCCCGGGCCCCTGCGGTCTGCTCAGCCCGCCTGGTGACACGTGACGTGGATTTCGTGAGTGTGCCTTTTACAGACGCCGAGATGCATTAAACCATTTTTGTTCTCTTTGCACGGGCTTTGGTGCCCTTTGTTTTCTTCTGGGCCGTGCAAACAGTTTAAAAGCCAACCATTTTGTAAATACTTCTGCCTGAAGCTGGCGGGGGTGGGGTGGAACGCACTGTGACTTACTGGCCAGAAAGCCCAGCTGTTAGGAGGGAAGTCAGCACTGGAGGGGTTTCTCCTTCGTAGGGAGAGGCCAATCATGCCAGCATTTTGGGCTCCTGTCTTACGCGGCTGCCTGCTGAGCTCGCAGGAGGGGGAGGGGCTGAGGGCAGGGAGGGAAGACCCAGCGTGAGGAGCCCCCTCCTCTGACCGGATCCGAGGCATCAATGACACCTTCCCCTCAGGCCACATGCTGAAGTTTTACTAGGTGGATTTAAAAAATAAAAAATCCTTTCATTGTTTAAGCATCTGAGTTACTTGGGCTCATCTGGGAACTTTGCAGCCACTGCCCGTGTCTATTCCAGAATGTTCTGGAAGCAACACGAAGAGACATTTGAGATGTCCCCCCACCACCACCACCTCTGCCTTGTCCCTCCTTTCAGGACTTCTCAGTTGTGGAGCAGAAATCAGCATGAATATATCAATTTGGGGGACACACGTGGATAGAATATGTCCCTCAAACTTCAAAGGCTGGAGCCTTTGGCAGGTGAGCAGGTAGCAAAGGTGATGGACAAGTGGCCCTTATGAAGGAGACCCCGGAGCGCCCCCTCAGGCCCGCCCTGCGCAGACCCGGAGACAGGACCCCGGCCACGAACCAGGAAGCTGGTCCTCATCAGACACGAAACCTGCCAGCACCTTGACCTTGGACTTTCCAGTCCCCAGAACGGCGAGAACGTGCTATCTAAGCCACAGTCTAGTCCAGGTTCTTGTTACAGCCGCCTGAACCAACAAAGACACTGCTTCAGTGATTTGAATTTAATCGTCAGGTAAAACTAACTTCTAAATATTTTTAAATGTTTATTTTTGAGAGAGACACACACACAGATCACAAGCAGGGAGGGGCAGAGAGAGGGAGACACAGAATCTAAAGCAGCTCCAGGCTCTGAGCTGTCAGCACAGAGCCCGACGTGGGCCTTGAACTCATGAACCATGAGATCGTGACCTGAGCTGAAGTCGATGCTTAGCCAGCTGAGCCACCCAGGCACCTCTAGAACCAATTTCTAAAACTATCACCCCCAAACCAAGTGGATGACCAGTTGCCCTGTGGTGATGTGCGTAGGGTGAAGCAGACCTGATCATGGTCCCCCAAGCCCCCCACGGGCCGTCTGGACCCTCACCCCTCAGTCGGAGCCTCCACGGGGTGTCTGGACCCTCACCCCGCAGTCAGAGACCCCCACGGGCCGTCTGGACCCTCACCCCCTCAGTCGGAGCCTCCACGGGGTGTCTGGGCCCTCACCCCGCAGTCGGAGCCCCCATCCCTATCTGCCTCCTTCCCCAGACAGGAAGGCTCCTCAGGAGCTGGGCCCATGCGGCAGCCTCCGCGGGCCGTGGCCCTCGCTCACCTTGGCCTGGCCCTTCATCAGCACGATGTTGGAGATGACGGAAGCCTGGAGGCCGCCTGAGGGCTGTGCCAGCTGAGCCGTGCTGAGCGACCGTGTGGGTCTCGAGCTGCCCTGCGGGGAGGAAACGGGGGTGGGGGGTGAGCCAACGGCACACACCTCAGGGGGCAGGGAGGCCCCAAACCCCTCTCCGGGGGTCCCACGGCAAGACCCCTGACCGTGGCCGACAAGGCGCGGTGGGAGCCTGGTGGAGGGGGGCTGTCTTCCGTGGTCTGGGGGTTGCAGCCCTGCTGAGCCCACCTCCCCGCAGAGCAGCAGCTGGGAACCCATGCGGCTGGTCCAGACAGCAGGTGCAGAGTGCGTGACAGACCACAGTGCCTGACCGAGGACGGCGCGCCCAGCAACGGGAGCCCCAAGGAATGCCCCCACCAGACTGTGCCCACTCACACACGTGCTGCGTGCCCTCCCCGGGCCCGGCCTGGGAAGGTGGGCAGGGAGCCTGGAGACTGTTAAATGCGGAGCATGCGTCCCAGGGGAGGCAGACAGGTGACGTGCAGTGTGACAGAGCGCGCCAACGGGACGGGCACCCTGGGCGCCTCAGGAAGCGCCCACCCCCCCCCCCCCCCCGGTCAGGGCCATATCGCTTGGACTGTAGGTCAGAGCTTAGACTCTGGGGCCCTGCCACCTGGGTTCTTTTCCTGCCTGGTGACCTCGGGGAGGTGACGCACCCATTCCATGCCTGTTTCCTCTTCTGTCACTTTGGAAGTCATCTTTCATCTAACGCTGGGACACTGAGGCTCCCAGTTTGCAAATGAAAGACAGTAATTCCAGGAAGGGAAGGGGAGCTGGAAGTGAAACTCACGGGCATCTACGGGGTACCGTGCAGGGAGACTCAAACATCACTTGTCTATGGAGCACCCCCCTGGGAATGCTCCGCTCTGCAGGGGGGAGGCTGAAAGAAGAAGAGCGTGAGGCTGGCGGGTCGGGCGCTCCCAGCACTAGCAGTGTTAGCAGGCGTCTGAATGGCGGGGGAGGTGCCACCATTCAGACCTAGAGGTCAGCAGCTGGACTGACCAGCAGCTGGACTGACCGGCACTAGAGAGGTGCCGGTGGTCGTGGGGGCAGCGTGAGTCCCTGCCACGAGGGCCCAGGGGCTCGGGAGACAGCGGGAGGGGATGGACACGCCAGGCTCTGGCCCGCTCACAGGTGCCCATGGTGGGGACAGGCAATGTGGGGCCCACGGGTGTGGCTGGAGTCCCGCCTGGGCCCTTCTCTGTAGAGATGCGTGATCTCAGGCAGCTCCTGGCCGAGGCCCCAGCCGCGATTTCCTCGCTGAGAAATGGGGCTAAGAGCACAGGAATTGGCGACCTGAAGGTCTGACCTTGAGCCCCGGGTGGTGCGTCCTCGGTGATGCCGTGGTCCAGGCCCCCCCCAACCCCGGCTCCCCTGCCCCGGCTCCGTCCCTTCGTCCTTACCGCAGACTTCGCTGCTGGGCAGTCCAGCTGCTGCGAGAGGGACTTCCTGCTGCCGCACAGGGCGTAGGGCTGCCTGTCCGCGCAAGAGTTCTTGGTCATCCGAAAGTCGACTTCTGCTGTGCAGCAGGGATTAACACCTACACGGGGGGAGGGGAGGAAGAAATCGTCTGTGCTCTCAAAGCACAGAGGTCAGCTGAGAACACCCTCCAGGCCACCCCAAAGCCTTGGGTGGGAGCAGCCCAGGCCTCTCCAGCCCCGCCCCTGCCCCAGCGCAGGGCAGCCCCAAGGCCCTTCTGTGGACACAGGCCCCGGGGTCGGGACAGAGCGGGCTCCCCGAAGCACCCGGCGGGTCTGGAAATGACTAGTGGGTGTGCTCCAGCCACAAGGCCATGGATGAAGGTCATCATCTCAAGTCAGCGGCGGGGGGTGGGGGGTGTCCAGGGGGGAGCTGAGCTGAACACAGTCAAATACACAGCAATTGATTGAGGTCGTTGAAAATGTGGTTATGAAATCTGATGCAAAAGCCAAAATAACTTTTGAAAGGGAAACTACATACTGTGGTGATTGTATAATAAATAATACAAGTTTGTAACTTCCGGTTAAGTTGAATTATGGAATGGAAAAATCAGCGGAGATGAGTAACTCCATTTCTCGAAGGAGTGGGCAACCTGGAAAATGCAGTGTCTAGCATTCATTAATGAATGACACCCAACCGATCAGCTACTTGATTTCGTGTAGAGGAAACCAGAAGTGGAGCTGAAAATTGCACAAAATCCTCCAAATCCCTGCAAAACTCCACGCACTCACACGCACACCCAGCAAGAGGCAGGAAACAAGAAAGCGAAAGTGACCAAATAACAAAGTGTAGAAAGCAGGTAGGTGAAAGCAAATATTATCTGTTAAACTAACACCAATCGCTGAGCATCTCTCTAAAAAGATTGCCCCGTTTGCTCTCGAGATCTTACTGTGCGTCATAAAACAAAACAAACAAACAGTGAAAGTCGGGCAGAAACTGATTACCCATAAGCGGTGCTGGAATTAAGTGACCACTTAAAATAGTGTTTATCTCGGGGCGCCTGGGTAGCTCCGCGGGTTAAGTGTCTGACTCTTGATTTCAGCTCGGGTCACGATCCCAGGGTTGTGGGATATCGAGCCCCATGTGGGGCTGTGCGCTGACGGCACGGAGCCCGATTGGCATTCTCCCTCTCCCTCCTTCTCTCTGCCCCTCCCCCTCTGGCGCGTGTGCACTCTCTCAAAAGAAAGAGAAAAGAGAAAAAAGCTTTTACCTAGATTCTTGCTTCAAAGCAAACAACAAACATTAATCACAGGTATAGTAGGCTTATTTAAAAAAAGGCAAATCGTTTAAAAATGAGAAGGAAATACAGCCTAATATTTAATAGTGGAAGAAATTTTAACATGATTAGGAAGGGAAAAAAACCTATAGATGTGATTATATAAAGGTGTTCTTATCTTTATGTTAAAAAACTTAGAAGATAAAAGAATAAACTGAAGAAAGTATATCCAACAGATAGGATAGCCAACTATTACTGTAACTTGGAGGCTTCTTAAAAGTTTTTTTATTGCTTATTTATTTTTTTTGAGACAGAGAGAGAGCATGAGTGAGGGGCAGAAAGAGAGGGAGACTCAGAATCCAAAGAGGCTGCAGGCTCCGGGCTCCGGGCTCCGAGCTGTCAGCACAGAGCCTGACATGGGGCTCAAACTCACAAACCATGAGATCAAGATCTGAGCCGAAGTCAGACACTTAACCAACTGAGCCACCCAGGCGCCCCTCAGAGTCTTCTTATAAACTAATGATATTACTGATCACACCAATTAAAACAAACAGGTGGACTCCCAAAAAGCAAATGAATAAAGAGACGCTTCGAGTCATGTGTGGAGGAACTCCTCCCGCCTGTGCTCAGGGCCAGAGCGCCAGGCAGGTCAGGGGCAACTGAGGCAGTGAGAGCGGACAGGAAACACTACTGAGATTCTCCTCCCCCTCCAGTCCCCCGGTGGCGCTCCTCGGGGACGGGGCTCCCCCCCAACCTCGGGGTCAGCGGCCAGGGAGCAGGCAGGGTTGGGTTCATGGGCATGTGGCCTGTGAAGTCAGCCACACAGAACCCCAACCATAGAGTGGCCTTGGCTTGCTTTCTAATGCATCCATTTTGAAATTCTCAACAATATTTGGACGGGCCCACATTTCCATCTTAGACTGATCCCCATAAATTGTGTAGCCGTTCCTGCGTGTGAAGTGGGCCAGAAAAAAAGCAGAGGAAGAAGGAAAAGAAATCTGAAGCAAATATATATTTTTGAATTTTAACACAGTGTGGGCTATGATTGAAGAGACAGATGTTCAAACACATCCTTGGAGTATCAGCTACTTAAATTTGGCAGCAGAGATCAAAATCTAAGGTGTGTTTTCCTTCTGAAACTCCATTTCTAAGAAATCATTCTAAAGGGGGAAATAAGCAAAAATGTATGATTTTTTAAAAAAAGTCACTAGCAGTCCAAAAATAGGAACTGAGCTTGGGGAAAAATGTTTTGGATGGTGCACCCTACGGCAGAATTATATGAGACAGAGTTTAAGGGACTTGCCCAAGGTCACATCAATAATGAATTCTGGGAGCAGGTGTGAGCTCCTAACCCAGTGCGCGTCCACTGCCCTTGGTAGTTCCCTTGGAAAATCATCACAAACGCAAACGAGTTTCTTGTGCAAGCTCCCCAATGCTTAGTGGAAAACTGAGAATAACTTAGCTAATAGTAGGGCGTTCGTTAACTAGATCAGGTACATCCGTACAATGAGGCACCCGCTGAACGTGGTGTGTAGGAAAGAATTTCCAAGGACATGAAATCAAGCCGTGCTGTCCTGAGCACAGGCATACATAGTCTATAGGCATGTGCAGGCCTAAAAGGGAAATAATGAAAATGTTAACCTAGATTATTTCTTATGTCAGCGTTTGGTGTGGTTTTAATTTCTTCAGGCTTTTTTGCATTCTTCAGATGTCCTGACTTTGGACTATGGCTATTCGATTTGTAGCCACCAGGAATCATGACGGCCTCCAGCCCCCACCCCCATCCTGGTGCAGATGAGGTGATAGAGACCCTGGGAGAGCAAGGGGCCTTCCTAAAATCGAGGGGCACATCAGAAGACAGATAGGAGGAAAGCCTTTGTCTTTTATCCCTTATGCTGGGTCTTCCCAACATGGCGCCCGGGCCCAGCTAGAGGCAGAGCTGCCAAAACCATAGAGAGGCTCCCCACCCCCACCCCTGGCTGGCCAGGATGCACACACGCAATGACAGGCAGTCGCAGAGAGGCAGGAAGACCGCAGCTGTGTTTGACCCAACTTGACTAGCCAAGACCCACCCTTCTCCAGATCTCCCCACGTCGCTGATATGCCTGCTCCTCAGCGCCAGCGAGGCTCTGTTCCTGAGGACAGTTCGATGACGCACTTACTGGTTGAGTTGCTGCGTGTCCTTTGGTGACAGGCTTTGGGAAGCAGGAAGCTACTACTTTGCGGTTCTACTTTTCCAGACTTTTCTTGAGAAGTTGTGGAAGCTTCCTGCAAAACAGTTCCCACCTTTTATTCAGCAAGTTCGTCAGAACAGGAAAACGTGCACAGAACACCAAGGTTTTGACACTGACTGTGGACGGACTTGGGGGGTTGTCCATCTCCCCCAGGAGATTATAGGGCCTATGAAGGCAGAAATATAGAATCACTGACACCCATTCATCCACAGATAGTCACTTGTTTCATAAAAATGGAATGACTAGGTATACTGCATAGATACTCAACGAAGGCAACAGATGTCAAATAACCACGTCAGCCGTTACATGTCCGATTCTTTGTGAAGTGTTGGGGAAACAGGTGTGAACAAGCCAGACAGGACATTGACCCCAGAGCAGGGCTGTTCTCGTGAAGGAAGAACAACAGGAAATGAGCAAACAAGAGTGACAGATCGTTACAAAGAACGGCAAATGAGGTGGAGAAAAGAACTCAAGAGAGACCCCAATGGGAAGCTCAAGAGGGATATTTCAGAAGAGTTAGGGTCAGCTCCTGTAGAATGAATGTTATAAGGAAAGGTTTTTAAATATTGAACCATCCGTGCATTCTTGAGAGTATTATGATTTTATTATATTGCCGATTTCCATCTCTGAAGATTTAATTGAGGGCTTTTAAAATCAACATTCTCAAGTTATATCTGGTTACGACTCTCTTATTCTTCTATCATGTCATATTGATCACATTTTCCATGCTCCTTTCTTATGCTAATAATTTGGAGGGTCTCCCTTTGTGCTGAGTTTATAAGCAATATGTTAAATGGTATACTTGGACTCATTTCTCCGCCAGGGTGAATAACGAAACAGAAAACATATGTGTCCGGAATTTTAGGGACAGAGGGATAGAGGTTGATAATGAGGATAATAGTATTAATTATTTTACTTCTCTTCCTAGAACTGTTTTTGTATAACTTTGTTACCCACAATGATCTTGACTTAATTCTTGAATTATGTTGGTTTCATTACTCACTGCCATAATCCTTGAGTGTGTACGTGTGTCTATGTGTGTGTGTGTTTTCTCTCAAGAAAGTTATGCAGATGGAAAGCTCTCTGAATAGTTGCATGTCTGAGAATGTTATTTTGTGGTCATCACACTTAAATGACTTGCTGAGTGTAGAATTGCTGACTGTAGAATCTTTGGGTATTCATTTTTTGATCTAGAAACCATAGTTGCTTCAAATGCCCCCTGGGATGCAGGGTTCCAGGGCAGAGATCTGTGATGGGGTACCTGCCACCCTCTTCTAACTGATGCGCCTGCCTTTCTCCGAAGCCAGCCTTGTCAGCGCCTGGCTAATGTCATGAGTCCAGTGTGTGTGGACTTCCGGCATCTGGCGCATTTCCCAGAGTGGAGGGAACATCTATCATTGCCTCTCACTTCATACCCAGCAACCTGGCCTCCCCTCCAGCCCTTGGCACTACGAGTTGGCGGGTTCTGGGGTCTGCCTCACTTACTTTCCAGGCGTTTTCCTCCATGTGGTCAGTGGCGGGCTAATTAGCCCTTCCTCAATCCAATGTCACCTGCCTTATTCACGCAGATAGTTCTCATGGGCTCCAGAACACGGTTACCCCCTTTCCATGGCTTCCTGTTCTGACGTGCATCTCTCCCTGTTTGTATATATATTCTTTGAATTTTGGTAGTCCTTTCCAAGAGGTGGGGAAATTAGTAAAACATGCTCTGTAGCCATCTGGAGCCATAAGTCCACTCCCAGCCTTTTTTGTGTTTAAAATTGCATTCAGTTCTGACCCAAGGGGATGCTGCAAGGCACCGCGTATCAGTTCCCTGTTATTTCCTGTATATATCGGTGCTCAAGGCCAGGCCTCATCTTCGTAGCATTCACTCTGTTTCAGCAGTAGGTGGTGCTATTATAACCCAAACAAAACTTGTCTTCTATTATGAGGCTCCCCTGAGAGTTTTCCAAAGGAGACAGAGCACCACATCTATGGAAGTTGGCGTAGTGCGTTTGAAATTTTGAGACTCTATATTCCTAGGACTTAGCATAATGATTTGTTCTTTGAATTAATTACTTCACGCAATATAATGTTCACAACAATATTTCTTAATTACAATACTCCCTGAGGCTTTGTCCTAATTCTAATATCAAGACCCCCTTCCTATATCATCACCACTTCTCCACACTCTCCAGTGAGAGTATGGAAATAAACAATAAAATGTGAGTTCAGTAGCTCTTTTGGGCTCATTGAACGTGGAGAGGCCTAGAGAAACAGCCAGTGTGTCTACTTGTCCAAAGTGAAGCCTTATTTGCAAAGTACATTTGAAATGCAGATTTCCCCCCATATTTCTAATAAAATGCAGATAAGTAAGCAAGTGAGGTGTATACAAGCATAAATCCTAATCATTTTTTAAAATAATGTTTGTCTAGCTTGGAATAACAAGCATCATTAAAATGTCTATACTACCCAAAGCAATCTACATATTTAATGCAATCCCTATCAAAATACCAATAGCATTTTTTACAGAGTTAGAACAAACAAACCTACAATTTGTACAGAACCACAAAAGACCCCAAGTAGCCAAAGCAATCCTGAAAAAGAAAACCAAAGCTGAAGGCATCACAATTCCGGACTTCAAGCAGTATTACAAAACTGTAATCATCAAGACAGTATGGTACCGGCACGAAAACAGACACTCAGATCAAGGAAATAGAGTAGAGAACTCAGAACTGGATCTACAGCTATATGGTCAATTCATCTTTGACAAAGCAGGAAAGAGTGTCCAGTGGAAAAAAGAGTTTTTTCAACAAATGGTGCTGGGAAAACTGGACAACGACACGCAGAAGAATGAACCTGAACCACTTTCTTACACCATACATAAAAATAAACTCAAAATAGATGAAAGACCTAAATGTGACACAGTAAACAATGACAATCTTAGGGGAGAAAACAGGCAATAACCTCTTTGACTGCAGCTGCAGCAACTTCTCCTAGACACGTCTCCAGAGGCAAGGAAAGCAAAAGCAAACATGAACTATGGCCACTTCATCAAGATAAAAAGCTTCTGCACAACAAAGGGAAACTAAAAGGCAGCCTACGCAATGGGAGAGGATATTTGCAAATAAAATATCTGACAGAGCGTTAGGATCCAGAATCTAGAAAGACCTTATCAAACTCAACACCCAAAAAACAATTAATCCAGTGAAGAAATGGGCAGAAAATATGAATAGACATTTTTCCAAAGAAGACATTCAGATGGGCAACAGACACACAAAGAGATGTTCAACGTCACTCATCATCAGGGAAATACAAATTAAAACCACGATGAGATATCACCTCACACCTGTCAGAATGGCTAAAATCAACAACACAGGTAACAACCAATGTAGGCAAGGATGCGGAGAAAGAGGCTCTCTTTTGCACTGCCAGTGGGAATGATACTGGTGCAGCCACTCTGGAAAACTGTATGGAGGTTCCGTGAAAAATTAAAAAATAGAACTACCCTATGACCCAGCAATTGCACTACTAGGTATTTACCCAAAGAATAGAAAAGTACTGATTCAAAGGGGTCCATGCACCCTAGTGTTTATAGCAGCGTTATCAACGATAGCCAAACTATGGAAAGAGCCCAAGTGCCCATTGACTGGTGAATGGATAAAGAAGATGTGGTATATATGTATCCAATGGAATATTACTCAGCCATCAAAAAGATGAAATCGTGCCATTTGCAACAACATGGATGGAGCCAGAGAGTATTATGCTGAGCAAAATAAGTCAGTCAGAGAAAGGCAAACAAATAACATTATTTCATTCATATGTGGAATTTAAGTAACAAAACAGATGAACATGGGAAAGGGGAAATAAAAGAGAGAGGGAGGTAGACCCTAAGAGACTCGTAATGATAGAGAACAATCTGAGGGTTGCTGGAGGGAAGGTGGGTGGGGGGTGGGCTACGTGGTGGTGGGCATTAAGGAGGGCGCCTGTTGGGATGAGCACTGGGTGTTAAACGTAAGTGATGAATCACTGAATCTTACTCCTGAAACCAATGTAGCACTATATAGTAACTAACTAGAATTTAAATAAGAATTTGGGGAATAAAAGAAGAAAAAAATAATGTTTATAAAAAGCTTTTTAGTGACATACACACACTTATATTATGGTAAAAAAAAAGGTGTTATGAATAGAGTCTCACTATAATCATGTAAAATAGGCACAGGGAAAGGACTGGAAATAAGTACATCAAAATAGTAACACTCATTCATTCAACAAATGTTTATTAAGCACTAGCTATGCACGGGGCTCTAGTCCGAGGACTGAGGAGTACCAGTCAGTAGACAGGGTAGTGATCTTGTGAACTGACAGAGCGTGTTTGTGGGGGGTAAGGGAATTACATGTTCTTATTTTCTTATTTCCCAGCTCCCTGTATTTTCCATATTTCCTACAAGCATGTATGACCTTTACAATCAGACCAGAAGCAAAATGCCATCTGACATTTATTTCAAGTGTCCCATTAGTCAACTTAAGACAGTGCACTTCCTGTTCATTTCTTTTTCCCTTTCCATCCTCTTTATAAAGCTCCCTGTCCAAACCATCATTTAGAAACTGCTCAGCAAATAAAGCCAATGGATGCCGTTGTTGGCAGAAGAATCGTAGGACGTGGAGATTTTTCTTTTTTGGCCCAGATTTCCTGGAAATGGTTAATGTCATGTTCAGAAGAGGGAAGCTTTCTTTTGGGGTTTCAAGGTTGGCTGTAAGAGACCTTATCCCAAACCAGCCAGATGAACCGCTTGCCTCCTCTGCTGTCTGCACGTCAGGGGTTCAGCTGCTTCTTGTGACAGCGGGAGCAGCGACAGTGATCTCACTGTGCTCAGGTAGCTCATGGACACCCCTGCCGCCCATGCACAAGGCAGTACAGATGAGTCCTTTCCCTCGAAACCCCACCGCCTCCAGCCAGACCTGTCTCAGACGCAGGAGACAGGCGATGAGTCCCTTCCCTCTGCCATGGAGCCAGGCTCTCAACTAGCTGGAGACTCTGACAATTTGCATCCG